CGCTCACACTGCGCCTGATTCTGCTGGAGTTTTCTTCCTGTTCAAAGGGAGTTTTTCCTCTCCACTGTCACTAAAATCATGCTTAGTGTATGTGAATGCTACAGAGTCAATAAGATGATGCAATCAACTGGTTTACCTTAAATTGAAAACTTTGAAACAATCTTCATGATCTGGTTGAATTGTCACACTATTGCTGCTATAGAAATATGTTGAACTGAAGAGTCTACAGACGAGTATAATAGAATATTAAAGATTAGAAAATGGGATGTTGAAAAAGATTCATGCGTTTCCCATTTTTGCCTTCTTAGCATGACAGCAATCAAATCTTTTCTTGGTTGCCAACCGTCTTTCATTGATGTTTTTGGTGATGAGCTCCATGTCTTTGGGGCTGGAAGGCCTCTCCGCCATCATCCTAATTACTGCCCTACTCATAGATGTTTTATTAAAGGTCTGGACTCTTCTAGACACTCATTTTGCTTCCAGTAGAAAGAAAGATATTGCTCAAATCAAACCATAACTAAAATTTTAATCCCCTCGGTGTAGCAACAAGCTTGGGCCTAAAGGTGTCTTTCTTAATGAAGAAAACATAAAAGTTTCTTACTGGTTGGATCCTCTATGGTGAGGATGACGGTAGGTTCACTAGGATCTCCTACTCCAGCCTCATTTTCCGCTCTGACCTGGAACTGAACCTCTGATCCTTCGTCCACGTCAGTCACCTTGAACTGAGTCTGTTTATCTGGAGTCTTGCAGCACTTCAACCAACGAGTTCCGACTTTTTCTTTCTTTTCAATCACATATCTGTGCAGAGAAAATCCACTCGTCACATTTCATCTTGGGTTTTAGTTTCACCACAGAAATAAAAAGCTAGAAAGTATTCTTAGGTCAAACTCAAAGCCTCGTCGCTGACGCTCCTCTTACTTGGTAATGGGTCTTCCACCGTTGCTCTTGGGAGGCTCCCACTTCAACTCCACGTGTCTCTTAGTGACCTCCACCACTGTCAGGGCGTATGGAGGACCAGGAGTAGCTGTAAAAAGGCAATAAATCCAGATCTAGAATGAATTTTCCTTCGGTTTCAGCTCTACTGTAGAACAGTTTAAATCAAAGCATTAATGACTGGAGATTTTTTTTGTGTGATCAGATTGGCAGCAGTGGAACATACTGAATGTGTCCTTGGCGAGCACTGCATCCTCCAGCTCACAGAACTCTCCCGTTCCAACGGCGTTCTCTGCAGCCACTCTGAACACATACAGCGATCCCTCGTTCAGAGGCGTCACCGTGTATTTCAGCTCCTTGACGGTGGTGTCGACAGTCTGCCAGGCCTTCCGCCTCACATCCCTCTTCTCCACCACGTAGTTGGTGATGGGAGACCCACCATCACTGCTGGGAGCCTGCCATTTCAGGTCAGCATTGATCTTGGTGATGTTGGTGACCTCCAGCCACTGAGGAGCGGATGGAGGATCTGCAGGAGGGAAAAAAAGTTATTTCAGTGAGACGTTCTTTCCTACGGAGATTTCCCTGCTGCCAGTTTTTGAGCAGGACTTACAGAGTCTCTCCTTGCAGACCACCGGGTCACTGGGCTCGCTGGGTTCGCTTTCACCAGCCTTATTGACGGCCTTCACCCTAAACGAGTACTCCTGCTTCTCCATCAGACCCTCCAGCTGGTGCTCTGTCTGAGGAACGTCCTCTGCAATGCGGATCCACTCCTCGCTACCTGTCTTCTGGAACTCAATGATGTAGCCTTCGATCTTGGCCCCGCCGTCGTGCTCTGGTCGCGTCCATGCTAGCAATGCAGTGGTCTTTCCAACCTCCCTGACAACCGGTTTCCCAGGTGCCCATGGAGGATCTGAAGAGAAACTCAGTGTTTGTATCATTTCTTTGAGGTGCACAACAGTTACATCAAACAACCAATAATCAAATGCTGATACAACATCATTACACAATTCAGCGGGCACTTCCCTGTAGACCAATGTCGTGGATAAACTGGTGACCTACCGATGGGGTCTTTGATCAGCACAGGATCTGTCTCCACGCTCGGTTTTCCAGGTCCAGCCAGATTTTCCGCCAAAACACGGAAGCGGAACTTCTTCTTGGTGGGGAGTCCTTTTACCCTGCAGCCAAACAGACACCGTATGAAAAACTCTCCAGATCAACAATTCCTGGAACTTTATAAACCTCAAAGCTGGGCTCATTACCTGAAGGTTGTGTCTTTAATGGGCAATTTGTTGCATCGGATCCACTTGTCGCTCTCTTGATCAAACTTCTCGATCCAGTACCCAGTGATGGGGCTGCCACCGTCCTCGTCTGGCTCAAACCAGGTCAGGGTCACTGCATCCTTCGCAATGTCAGAGGGAGTGACTCTGGTTGGAGGACCAGGAGGATCTGAAGCGGAGGGAAACTTGATTAATTCTGTGACCGAAACTCTCGAAATTTGGATGAATTGATCCGTGTGACAGCATACCAAAGGAGTACTTTGCAATGATGGGTGTATGCTCAGTGGGAACGCCAATGCCGTACTGGTTCTCAGCGCTGATTCTGAATATGTACTCCTTCAGGGCGGTCAGCTTGCAGGCCTTGAAGGTGGTGTCTTTCACCGTGGCGGACAGCTTCACCCACTCCTCTTTGTCCGTTTGCCGACATTCAACGATGTAGTTGGTAATGGGCGAGCCCCCGTCATCTCTGGGAGGGTTCCAGGCCAGAACGCATGACTCGTTGGTGATCTCTGAGATGTCAAAAGCGGCTGGAGGACCCGGTTTATCTGAGAAGACATGGAAAATCCACCGTCATGGGTTTTTCCTTTTTATCATTAAGCTTTTCCAGCATTTTACGGAGGAAAAACCCGAATAAAAGCCAGTGGGTAAAGTTTGAAGGATCATACCCAGAATGTTGACATCAATGGTGGCTGTGGCACGTCCACAGATGTTAACCGCCTCAATGATGTAAGTGGCTGTGTCTTCTCTGGTGGTGTTGCTAATGGAAAGCTTGGAGTGACCTGGCTGGGAGTCGATGGAGATGCGGTCATCGGCCCGCAGGACCAGGTCGGCCTTGGTCCATTTGACACGAGGATCAGGCTTTCCTTTGACGTCTGCAGGAAGCTCGATTTTGGTGCCGGCTCTGGCCGTCAGACCCGCCAGCAGCTTTGCATCCAGCTCAATCTCCGGAGGTTCTGTAGTAGAAATTGAACAAATATTTCTACAAATTCTATTTCAAATAGAATCCCTGTTTGTATCACTGAAAACAAAAAGCATAAAATGTTTAAAATGTCTCTCCTTATTGTTTCGTAAGAGCTCCTGACGAACAGAGCAGCCTACCTCTAGCATCTACAGCCTGGATCTCATCTGTGGCCCTGCAGGGTCGGCTGGCCCCCAACTTGTTCACTGCTCTGATTCTGTAGGCGTACCACTGCCCCTCAGTTAGCCCCGTCACCTGGAACCTGTCATCACAAGAATCATCTCAAAACACATCTAAACAAAACCCAGAGCAGACGGATGAAGCTTTCTGCGAGATGGCAGATCTTACTTGAGTTCAGGGATCGGGTCGCAGCAGGGCTCCCACTTATCTGTCCCACGCTGACACTTATCCACCACGTAGCCTTTGATCGGAGAACCACCATCGTACTTTGGAGGTTCCCACATAAGGAAGATGCTCTTTCCACTCTTATCGCGCCATTTAAGGTTCTCAGGAGGATCAGGAATAGCTAGAAATCAAGATTTAGATCAAACTTTAGGATATCTTTTCAAACTGGCTGCCAAGTTGTTCCAGAGAGAGGAATAATACTGACTCGCAGGAGACGAGACGTTTACTGGTTCGTCTATGTATGCTGGTTCTCCAGGTCCACACTTGTTGCAGGCGATGACGCTGAACAGGTACTCTTTTCCTTCAATGACATCCGTCACTGTATGCTCCAGATCCATGACTCCAGCAGCAACCTGAGGACAGAATCCAGGAGAAGTTTTAAAACATGGAGGACGTTCTGCAGAGCTCTAACAAAATACACCAAACTGATTTAATTCTCTAATGAGGGAGCTTTGTACGATCAGCCATATTTGCTCAGTTCTCCATTCATTGGTTCTTCCCGTAGCTCCCTCACTGCGATCAGTCTCAGACGTACCTTGGCCCAAGTCTTGCGTGAAACTTCTCTCTTCTCAATCTGATAATGGGTGACCGGGCTTCCTCCATCGTGTTCTGGAGGCTCCCACATCAGGTGGACGTGGTTTCGAGTCACCTCAGCCACCTTGAAGTCTTTGGGCGCACTTGGACACGCTGTGAAAGTCACAGAAAGAGGATTTCAGAAACAAATATTTGTAATCGTACCAAAATTTGTTTTTAAATCCACATAAACGGCGAAAGGTTTAGCTCACCGATGACGTTGACTTCGATTTCGCCAGAGACAGACGACACGTCGTTTTCCAGGTGAAGGGTGTAGCAGCCCTTATCGGGACGGACGCTAGGTGAAATTGTCAGCTCTGTGAAGGTAGGCTTGGTTACCATGGAGACGCGTTCGTCAGCTGTGGTCAGTTGTTTCTCTCCAAAGCTCCACTTGGCTGTGGGTGTAGGATAACCGGTGATGGGAACCCTGATGGTGAGTGGCTGGGGGGCAATGACCTCCAGGCCGTTCCTAAAGCCGCTCAGGTCAAATGTTGGACCAACTGGGGGGAAGAAAAAAAAAGTTTTCCTCTCCTTTAAAAAAACTTTAGTTTGAACCATAAGCAGTGAGCAGTTTGGTGCGGAATTATAATGAATAATAAATTCATTTCTCCTGAGTTAAGCCAGACTACAGAAAATTTTCTTATGATTTTGAGGAAAACTTTTCTGAATGAGTCAAACCATGTGGGTCGTCAGCAAGCAGAGGTCCGAGCTGCTCGGTCGGATCTGAGACACCAGCGGCGTTCTCGGCACAAACTCTGTACAGGTACTTCTGACCAGGCTTCAGTCCAGACACCTAAGTGAAACCGCAGAGGTCATTAAACCTTGAATATGAGACCCATTTGGAGATAAACAGGATGACTCTGTAACACAGAGAAGCTATGTACCCGGTAGGACAAGTCAGGACAGAGTCTGGCGTTGCAGCGCAGCCACTTGTCGGAGCCCTCGTCGCATTTCTCAATGATGTACCCGGTGATCATGCTGCCACCGTTGCTTAGTGGGGTTTCCCAGGTCAGACTGACGGCCGTCTTAATTTGGTCACTGTAGTTCAGGTTCAGAGGTGGACTCGGCCTCTCTGCGGGACATTAAACGGTTTCCTTAAGTGAACACATCCTGCCACATTTAAATGGACCATCTGAGCGGCCAGGTCCCACTCACCGATGGGATCCATGATCTTGACGGGGTTGGTGGCAGCGCTGGGTCTTCCGATTCCAGCCTTGTTCTCAGCTCGCACCCTGAAGATGTACTCCTTGTGTTCCACCACATCGTTCAGCGTGGCTGAGCGTTGGGCCGCTCCACACACCAGGGCCGCCTCCCACTTCACAGAAGTCCTGTCTCGGAGCTCAATCACGTACGCTGTGATCTCTGACCCGCCATCAAACTTGGGGGGCTCCCAGCTGACGGTGGCTCCAAACCGGTTCACCAAACCGACAGCAACATTTTCTGGAGCATCTGGGACATCTGAATTGGGAGAATATTGGTTAGAAGTGGGAAGATTTAAAGAAGCAGAAGGAGCTGTTGGTGCTTCCTACCAAATTTGTTCTTGGCCTGAACGGCATCATCTGTGGCAACAAGAGGTCCGGGTCCGACTCTGTTACGGGCGCAGACTCTGAACAGATACAGCGAGTCCTTCTGTAGTCCACTGACGCAGTACTCTGGAGTATCAGCCCGGTCTGTAGCCAGAGTCCAGGTCTTCCGCTTTACATCACGTCGTTCCACCACGTAGGCAATGATCTTGCTTCCACCATCGCTCTCTGGCTCCTCCCAGGCTAAGCTGACCTCCCCATCCGCAGTGTCGACCACTCTTAGGTTCTTGATTGGTCCAGGGACATCTGAAGACCACAAAGAGGAGAATCAGAAATCCTCTCAACAAATCAACACCTCACCTTTACCCCCTGAGACCTACCGATCACATCCAGGTTGATGAAAGCCTCCCCCTCCCCGTGCTTGTTTTTGATCACCACTCGGTACCGGCCCTGGTCCTCCTTGGTGGGGCTCTTAAGCCGGTACTCTGTCTTCTCATTTGAAGTATCGATGTTCTGAACAGGTAAACTGTTTCCACCAAAGAACCACTCAGCATCAGCGCGGGGGTAGGCGTCATAGGGGACTGCCATGACAAATGGTTTACCGGCATCCGTCACCAGGTTCTGGTCGGTGGTCTTGATCTTAGGAATTGCTGCAGAGGAGATTGTAGATTTTTAGAGCTGATTTTATTTCCCGTTTCATTCTTCAGTCCACCTTTGAACATGTTCAGAGTAATTCTCAAAACTGGTTTACAGCCTAGTATAAAGAAACCTGATTGGTTAATAGTAAGAACTATGAATGTAAAGCAGGATATGCATCTTAAAACATCGAAAGGTCAGGCTTTTCTTTAAATGTCCCACCCACCTGCCAGCTCCAGCTTGGCCCGGGCATCCTTGTCTTTGGCCACGATGCGGTACTCTCCTTGATCTCTGGGTCTGATTTCGCAGACCTGCAGCCTGTGGATCTTACCCTCGCTGATCATCTGGTATTTATCTCCCTGCACTATAATCATGTTATTTCTCATCCACTTGACCTCCACTCGGTCCTTGTTGAGCTCCACCTCAAACACAACATCCGAGCCCGGAGGCTCAAACATGTCCTGGGGCGGCCTGACGATCTCCACTGGGGTTTCTGGAGGGAAAAAAAAGTCCAGAACCTTTGTTAATGTTTGAAGACACATTTGCCTAAATTTCTCAGAGCAGACATGGAATCAGGAAGCTGACCTTCAACAAAAAGCCGGGCTCTGGTCCTTCTCTCATCCACACCACAGGCGTATTCACACTCATCATCTGGTCTGCACACCTTGATTATCAGTCTGCACGTCTTGCCTTCTTTTTCCATGTGATATCTGGACAGATGTGTAGGTTTGCATTAGTCTGAACCATTAATCAAATTAATCAATTATTTAAAGAATCGTCAACTAATTTAGTAATCGATTAAATGTTAACTGGAGTGTAGAGACACTAAATCATCCCTTTAGATGACAGCGACCCACTTAGAGCATTAATTATACCATATTGTAAAAAATAAATATATCGAAACATTTTGTATTTAAGATAAACTTTTTCATCTCCAAATGTTTTCCATCCAGAACTACTCAAGTGGGAAAAAAGTTGTTTCACCTTGTTTAATTTTGTAAAAATCTTCTTTAAGGAACCTGTTGCTATCCAATTAACAATCTATTAATAGATAAACTAATTGACAGATTAATTGATTGGCAAAATAGCCGTTAGCTGCAGCCCTAGTTTGCATGACTGGATATCCAAAGAGCGATCTATAAATAGTGTGTAATCTCAAAGTTGGCCTCTGGTAGATACCTGGGTCCTTCTCGGATCTCGCGTCCGTTCCTGTACCACTTGACTGCAGCCTTCTCCTTGCTTAGCTTGCAGGTAAACTCTGCATCCTCAAACTCTGTGATGGTCTGATCCCTGAGCTGTCCTGTGAAGTCTGTTGGCGCCTCGCTGATGATCAGCTCAGCGGCACACTTGTCGTCTCCGACCACGGCGGTGTACTCCCCCTCATCTTCCATGACGCAGTCCTTGATTGTCAAAGTGTGTTTCAGGCCATCCGCCCTGTAGACGATGCGTTTGCTGAACGTCACCTCCTCGCCGGCCTTCATCCATTTCACCGTCACCTCAGGCCGGTTCACCTTACAAACAAAACTGATGGTCTTCTTCTCCTGGGTCTCTATGTCTTCGATGGGCTCCATGAATCTAAGTTTTTCTGCTGAAACTTTAGCACTAGCAGAGCATTTAGCATGTTCTCCTCTGTGGTTAGTCAGAGAGACCGTGTAGGCTGCCTCGTCCGCCTTCTGAGCATCTTTGATCCTCAGTGAGAAGACGTTGTCTCTCTGCATCATCATGTATTTACTGCTTTCAAATATGGTCTCTTCGTTCTTCAGCCACTTGGCCTTGGCTCCCTCAGTGTTGGTCTCACAGTTAAAGACAATCTCACTTCCTTCCTTCACCTCCGTGTCCCTAATTGGTGTGACGATCCTTAGTTTTTCTGTAGCGGAGCAGAAAAGAGTTCATACCAGCAGGAGAAATACCAAAACAAGCTGCATAGAGGAAGGCAAAGGTCTCACCTATCACACAGAGATCAGCGGAAGCTTTAACGCTGCCGATGTGAGCAACGTAGCCACCTTCATCCTTTAGGTCACAGTTTTTCACCACCAGGGCTCTTCTCTTTCCTTCACTGATTATGGTGTACTTGTCTCCATCCTGGATCTCCTGATCACCTCTAAACCACTTCACCTCATAGGTGTCCTTGGAGACAGTGCAGGAGAACTCCACCTTCTCCCCCTCCACCACCTCCTGGTTCTGAGGACGAGAGGTGAACTCCGCTTCCAGTTCTGCAGAGCAGAAGCAACAAAGAACAGGATGAGGATACGCAGGCTAACTGAAAACACTTGTAAATGTCAACTGATCAAATCTCCTCTTTCTGAGGCTTTACCGTTGATTTTTAGGGAGGCGGATGTCCTGACTGTTGGACTCAGCCTACAGTTGTATTCTCCAGCATCTTCCATCCTCAGGTCCTGTATGATCAGGATCCTCCTGCGACCGTCCATGATCTGATCGTAGCGTCCGCCCTCTGGCAGCTCCTCATCTCCTCGGTACCAGCTGACCTCAGCATCGGCTTTGGAAACCTCACAGATCATCTTTATGCTGTCTGTTTCTGTTCCCTCCACGTTGGACAGGTTCTTGGTAAATGTGGCTGCTTCCTCTGAAGAAACACAGAGCAACATATTTGAGGAGTCATATTTTAATGAACATCCAACCTTAGATCATCACCTGACAAAGTCCACAAAACCCCTTACCGATGACTGTGAGAATGCCGGAAGTCTTGGAGGTTCTGGCATCGCATTCATACTCGGCCTCATCGTCAAACACCGACCTGTGGATGACGAGGATCCTCTGCACTCCCTTAGCAATGATCTCGTACTTCTTTCCTTTTCTGATCTCGCCGCCGTCCTTAAACCAGCGGACCTTAGGAAAAAAGGAGGATGAGTGCGTCACTATGAATGTGATGCATAGGTTCTTTTGGGTCGGTCTTGAACAGACAGACTGGCCATTTTCTCAGGGCCTTACCTTGGCGGACTCGCGGGACACTTCACATTCAAACCTGGCTGAATCCTTCTCTCTAACTTCTACATCCTGCAGAGGTTTTGTGAACTCTACATAAGGAGCTGTGGACACAGAGATAAACCTTTTATTCCATCATTCTGCCTCCAGTCTTGTTGATCTCACTGTATTTGACGGTCTTTGCTGTCGATGATGTGCTCCTTTTATGCCTAAAAACACAAAAAACTCCTCCTTACGTGTGACCTCCAGGAAGCAGGAAGTTTTGAAGTCTTTAGCGTCACATGTGTACATCTTGGCATCATCTGGGGAGCATTCATGAATGACCAGGGCTCTCTTGCGCCCGTCTGCGACAATGTCGTACTTCTTGGTCTTCCTGATCTCCTGTCCCTCCCTCAGCCAGTGCACCTCTGCGTTCTCTCTTGAGACTTCGCACTCCAGCGTGGCGGTGGCCTCCTCCTCCACCGTCTGGTCCTCAAGAGGCTTGATGAACTCCACCGGCGGCTCTGTACCCAGACATTTTTATTAGATGCTGACTGAACCCCGCCTGATGCATTCAATGCCCTTGGTTTATTGGAGTTTTACCTTTGACAATGAGCTGAGCCTGAGTCAGGAAATCCTTGGCTGTCAATTTGACCTCACCGGCCTCGGAGAGATTCACGTCACGGATGGTCAAGGTGTGAACTCTACCAGTCACCCGAGGCTTCACCTGCAGACACAGAGAGCTCTGCTTGATGGGCAGCTCCTCCTGCTCTTTATCACCCTGCTTGTTTTAATAGTTTTATTCAATCTCAAAATCTTTCATTTGTCTCAAAGCAACACTTTTTAGAAGCTTCTTTTTCCACATAAAAGCAAAAAAAAAAAACCCTTCCAGATCCTTAACCCTTTATAGGCCGCTCCATGAAAAAGTGTTGTTGGAATCCAGGACAAGACCTTATTACCTTTGTATCATTCAAAGAATATCGATATTTTGATGGAAAAAATGAATGCCAATGTAATAACAAGAAACGCCAACTTGCCTGAATTTATTAAGAAAATTTACAAAAGTGTTTCTATAAGAAATTCATGAAAGATACCGAGAGTGAAAGAAACAAAATGTTTTGGTCCAACATAACCTTAGAGGCATTAATGCTGATACTGGCACTGACATTTTTTAGTTTATAAACAAATATAATAGTTAACTAAGCTTATTAAATTTTGAACTTTACTTTTTCACTTTTCAATCAACTTTTTACCTTTTTTACTTGACTTGTTAACTTTTTTTCCAACTTAATTTCTATCATTCAAGGGCTCATCTAATTGGTCAGATGCCAAAATAAGATGTAGAGCCATGTAGAATTGTCTTTACTGAATGGCTGGATATAGATCTAGTGCTTCTAGACTTTACGAGGGACAGGGGGGGGGACATTTCTTTGTCTTCTTCCTTCTGTTCGCCCAGTGAGGTTGCTGCCATAGATAGAGACCTGCTCCCTCACAGATTACTTCCTGTAGTGGCGTCTGTGCGCTGTGATTGGACCAGGCCTCGGTGCAGATAAAGGACGGTTGGAGGAATGCAGATAAAAGCTGCTGCTCTCACATCTGATGTTATTTTTACCTCGGCCTTAACGGTGTTAAACATTTGATCAGGACAGAGGGTCTGGCTGTTGCTTTTACCCGTGTGTTTTTAAAGGTTTAACTTTAAACTCTTATCCAAGATCAAAAAAGTAGAAAAAAAAAGATTAAATGAAGGGATTCTGTAGCTAAATCTAGAAAAAACATCTGATATTATAAACGTTTTTCTTCATAAAGTGAAAAGATTCAGATCTTTAGCCTTTATAGCAGCTGGTTACCGAAGAAAAAAAAACTTCTTTCCGTTTTTAATGTCTGTCATTTTATTTTAAATGTAGTTCTCTTCTAAAATTGGAAATAAAAATTTTTACTTTTATTTTCTAAAACTGGAAACCTTTTTTCCTGTTGTTCCTGCTGAAACATTTATTCTATATCCAGTTGTTTGGACTCCTGGTTATTTTGTGTCCCAATGTCTCTGCATGTAGAGCTGCTGTGGTTTTCTCTCTAGGCTCTGGTTGTGTTTGTAGTCGGTTTGTCGTGAGGTGCTGTAAATTACCCGATCGCTGGCTTCCATCTTCTGTCCTCCAACAAACCACTCCACTTCGATTCCGTCGTATGACAGCTCACACTCGAAGGTGGCCGTCTCTCCCGCCGTCACCGTAACGTCCTTCAGAGGACGCATCAGTGTGATGGAGCGAGCTGAAAGAGAAGCAGGTCAAAGTTGGGAACCTGTTGGAGAGTCGGGAAGCTGCTCTCATGACGAAGCAGAAGGCTTCACAGAGCAGATAAACTAGTGGCTGAAAATAACCGCAGGCTCTGATTGGCTGAGGACTAACAGACAATGAGTTCCAAGCGGTTGATAACAAAGATCCTTCAGCATGTTTAACTCAATAGAAGGAAGCTGCAGCTCAGTAAAGGTTTGCAATCATTAGGTTTACTGAAGGAGCTGCTGTAGAGGAAGACTGTCTGACCTTTGACCCTGAGCTGAGCGTTGGATTTGGCATTGGCTGCAGAGAAGTCCACAGCCCCAGCCATGTCCATACGGACGTTATAGAGAATCAGCAGATGTTTGGTTCCTTCCTCTTTAATCTCCACATCCTGAAGGAAAACAATTCAGACAACAGAGTCAGAGATTTTTAACGGCCTTCATTCAGAAAAATAGTCTTTGTTCTGTGGAGACGTACAGCTGACTGGTGCAGAGCTTCTCCCTTCAGCTTCCAGTTTCCATGGACATCCTCCTCAGAGATTTCCGTCTCAAACCTGGCGGTCTCCGTCTCGGTGACCTCCACGCTGTACAGCGGACGGACAACCTTGATGTCACGCTCTGTGAAGAAAACATGAAGCTGTTAGCAGGTTTAAACTAACGGGGATACGCTGCAGTATGCTGATGATACTGTCGTTTATATGAGGTCATAAACACCATTGATCCTTTAGATATTGACCTTAATCTGTCCTTAAATACAGAACATCTTAGCAGTCTGTACTGTCAGAGTTGTTGGAGTTCAACTTAGCATATGTAGCCGGGTAATAAAGATGATTGGTTGATAGTGATGAGCTTATTTGTTTTCGTGATTTATGGTCTGTTTTATGTTATGGCAACCTTTGGATGATGTTTTTCTGGAGGGATTTTTTTAAATGTCAATAAAGAACAGAAAAGCATAATTCTGTAAAATGATCTGCTAAACTGTTTTCATACAAACTCTAATGCTGCGTTCACACTGTAGGCGGACCCTGGATGAAACTGTGGTCCAGTTGCTTTTCCACTTCAACACTCTGGTTGTTTATCTGCTCTGTTCTGTAGCTTCAAGCTGGAGAGCAACTTGGCTTTATTTACTTTATGAGTTAGAAAAATAGTTTTAACACATTTTTAAGCGAGAAAGTCCACCTCCAAACATCCTCTGTTCATCGTTTCATCAGGATTATAATCCCACTATAATCTGCAGTTCTTGTTGGGAGCTCCAGACCTCCAGCATACCGCCAGGTGGCAGCGCTGGAAATCCCAGCTGAAAGCTCTGTGCTGCTGCAGCCTGAGGGGGATTTCCAGCTGCCGATCGTTGCGGCAGGAAGTAAATAGAAAGCGTTTTTAAGGTTTGTGGTAAAAACTGTACCAGAATATATAATCCAATATTTTTCTTCTGCAGGTTTGAACATTTCTAGTTAATTTGGGTATTTATAAACAGTTTCTTCATTGTTCATAAAAAGGTTTTAGTGCAGCAATAATGATCAGAGCTGCTCTCTGTTCCTTCTACTATGGAAGCCCAGAGCGGTCGTGTCCCCCAGATACTTTTTCACAATCTTGAGAAAAAAAGTTAATTTTCTCATTATCTAACAATAACGAAAACCGTTTATGATTGAACCGAGATAGTTACGGTAGTTATTTCATTATCTTGAGAATAAGTTGAGTATGGCCGCTCTCGGCTTCAGTACTTCTACATAACGATCCATTCTTCTAGCTTTTTTTTTAACCTTTGGAGTTTAACTCCTTGATATTTATTCATTTTTCATATGCATAATGTCTGCAGAAGTGATGATAGCTTGCAGGTAGAGTGTGTTTCCCAAAGAAACTTTGGGATAAGAATCAGCTTTTCTGATTGGTTGATACTCTGGCATCCAGCGGCAAAGTTCATTTTACTGAACCTCAGCTCCCAACGCGCATCTGGACCTCTGGACGCCGCCCCCCATAGACTTTGCGTGTAAACAATACGCTTTGATGCAGGAAAAGAGTCCGGTTTCTGTTAAACGGCTTCTGTTAAAGTAAATAAACTGGGTCGAACCTTCGATTTTCAGGTTGGCTGTGGTTTTGTCTGAACCACAGTCGCAGGTGTACTCTCCGATGTTAGCCTTCTCCGCCTTACGGACCATCAGGATTCTCTTCTTTCCGTCAGCGCTGATGGCGATGTTCTTGGACGGGGTGATCTCCTGCCCATCCTTGAACCATTTCACGTCGGCGGCAGCCTTGCTGAGTTCGCAGACCAGCTTCACCTCGTCCTTCTCCACGGCAGTGTAGTTCTGCAGCTTGGTGGTGAAGTAGATGTCGCCCTCTGGAACCACAGCAGATTTTTACGTGAGTCAGAAAGCCAACCGTAAACGGAGAACGGATTCGACGCAACACTGACCAATGACGGTGAGCATGGCGGTCATGCTCTTGTCCATGGCCTCCACCTTGATCAAAGACGTGTCGTCGATGGTCACCTCCTTGAAGGCCAGAGTGTGGACCTTTCCGTGATCCGACATGTGGATGACCTTACTGGGAAGCAGCCGGACGTCGTTTTTGTACCAAATCACCGAGATGTTTTCGTGAGAGAGCTCAATGCTGAACTCTGCGGTTTCCCGCTCTTTTACCGTCACATCTTTAATGGGTTTGACAAACTCCAGGCGAATACCTGCCAACGGAAAACAAGCCCATTGTTAGCAGGAGAACGTGAGAAGAAAACTAAACAGAACTCTTATAAAGTCGTACAAAAACAAATTATTTTATGTATTTAATAACAGCAGAGAAGCGTGGCGCCTCAGATTGAAGCGCGAATCTGTTACCCTGAATGATGAGTTTGCCGGTCGTCCTCTTGTCCTCTGCCTCAAACATGTACTTGGCCTCGTCGTCAAAGGCCGCCGATCGGATCAGCAGGACGTACATTTTCCCCTCTTGGATCATTTCATACTTGTCGTCGCTCGTCAGTTCCTGAGAGCCTTTGAGCCAGCGGAAGCTCTTGGGAGGTCTGGACACCTCCACCTCAAAGCGGGCTTCATCCTTCTCGTAAACCTGGACGTCGCTCAGAGGCGTAAGGAAGTTCAGAGGAAGTTCTGCAGCAAAGGATAAGAAAATAAAACAACTTAGTCTGGAGCTTTAAGGAAAGTATGATGTGTTAAAGTAAGAAAAGTGGAATAAAAGAAAGGGTTTAATGAGCTGCTAAATGACACTTTCTTTTGCTTTTTGGATGATGGCCAGGTTAGAAGTGACAAACATTCAATGGATGTTGCATTAATTTAGATTTATTCAGCATATCTTAGTTCTATTAGAGAAATAAAGCAAAAAAAAAACATTTTGTTTATTACCTATAACCTGATCCTTTTAGTCAAGGCCGTGTTGACTTGCGCTCCTCTTAACTCTGTGGTCTCCAACGCTGGTCCTCAAGCCCTCAAACCCTCTACCTTCCTGCAGGAATTAGATGCATCCCTGCTCCAAAACAGCTGAATCAAATGAATGGCTTTTTAGGGAAGCCTTTAGCAAACTTGATGGCATGCTGAAAAAGGTAATCAGTCATTTTATTCAGCTGTGTTGAAGCAGGGATGCATCTAAAACCTGCAGGACAGTAGATCTTAAGGACCAGGGGGGTAGGAGACCACTGCTCTAACTCTTTATTGCACCTTTATTAAGGCCGGATGCTTTAAGGGCCTAAAGCTGATGGCGTTCACTTCCTACGGGAGGCTTCCTGTTTTATTCGGTTGGCAGGCCGCCATGAAAAGCAGTGCAGCATCGACCTCTGATTGGTTCCAGTTTAAAAGCAACAGAAGTGACTGTTTCAAAGTATGTATCAGACATGCATGCCTGGAAACGGGTAACCGGAACAGATTTTTATTCATTGTCTGGCAAAGCAAACACGGTAAACACGTTAATAAAGAGGCGTTTATCATCTTAAAGATGCTACAAACAGAACGCTACATTCTACCTCACTGGCAGAGGTTATGGTTCCTGTCCTCCTGTTTGTAAAAACTTGATGTGATATTAAAAGTGTTTGTTGGTGAAGGGAGCCTGTTTCACCTTTGACCTTCAGGTTGGCAGAACATTTGGCATTGGCAGCAGAGTAGGCCACCTCCCCGGTCATGGACACCTTACAGTTGTAGAGAATCAGAGTGTGTTTGCCTCCCTCCTCGATGATGTCCACATCCTGCCAAATGAGAAGTTAAACCAAGGTCATGTCAAGGTCAGGACCAGATGAAGCCATGTGGAGGGGGGGGGGGTGGTTACACACAGAGGATGGACTGAGCACTTCTCCGTTCAGCTTCCACTGGCCGTGGACGTCGTCCTCTGAGATCTCCACCTCGAACCGAGCCGTCTCTCCGTCAAACAGCTCCACGCCGTAAATCGGTCTGACTACCTTCACGTCGCGTGCTGGAGGACAGGAAGTGACAGTGAAATATTATAAGCATGTAAAACTAATATCTTATTCATAGAATCACTAATAAACAGTTATGTTGATGCAAACTTCAAAAAGAGCTAAAAATAAAAACAGAAAGAATAATTTTAGATGGTTTCCATCATTTGGTCACATTTCAGCATCTCAGTGACCGTCTGCTGAACCATCAGGGACTATTTAGATGTTACTGGTTCTACTGGTTCTGGGTTCTCCTGAACATCCGATCAGGAACCTTCCCTGTCGGAATCCAGAGCAGATCCGCCCTCTTACCCTCTATCAGGATGCTGGCAGAGGTTTTGTCCGTCCCACAGTCACAGACGTATTTTCCTTGATCGTTCTGCGCGACCTTCTTCAGGACCAGAGACCTGCGCGTGCCCTCTGACCTCATCACCACCAGTTTGGAGGCTATGACCTCCTTCTCCTCATGATACCAGACCACGGGGACATCCTTGCTCAGCTCGCAGTCCAGCGTCACCTCGTCTTTCTCGGTGGCGGTGTAATCCTGTAGCTTCACCAGGAAGACGGCGTCTCCCTCTGAGGAGCAGATTGAACAATTCGTTTAATCTCTGATTTCCTCATTAATCCAGATTGTGTTTTTGTTTACATCATCTGTAAATGTGGTGGAGATAAACTGGTAAATAAACCCAGAGAAAGAGGACATGCTGTTACCTATAACTGTCAGCTTGGCTGAGGAGTAAATTCCTTTGGCTTCTGCCTTTATCTGGCAGGTATCATCTAAACTCAGCGACCTCATTTCTAAGGTGTGCCGCCGTCCTTCCGTGTGCATGAGCACGGTTCGGCTCACGTGGAGCTTCACCTCGTTTCGGTACCAAACTACAGGCACGTTCTCGTGCGTCAGCTCCAGATCAAAGCGCACCGTGTTACCTTCTTTGATCGTTTGATCCTGCAGGTGCTGCACAAATTTCAGCCTCATGCCTGGAACACAGCAGGTGAGCGCAAACAGACAGGAGCGTTTGATGCCGTCCGACACGTAGACACCACAGACACAATGAGCACGCAGAGGGGACGGGAAGCGGGACAGATCTTACCTTCCACCGTCAGCTGAGCGGTGGATCTTCGGTCCAACACCTCTACGGTGTACTGAGACTCATCGTCAAACTCACAGCTGTTTATAATCAGCATGTGTTTCTTCCCATCGTCAATTAGCTCATATTTGGGGCTTGGGGTGATGATTTCAACCCCTTTAAACCACATGACCTTAGGCACATCCTTGGTGATGGTGCATTCAAACTTAGCCTGTTTCTTTTCAGGCACAGACACATCCTTCAGCTCGTCAACAAAGCCCATTTCGATCTCTGGGAGATGCGAAGAATTTAGCAATTATTGACAAAAGCAGAAGAAAAACAGGCGGGTTTTTCAGGACACCAACGTTCCACAGGACAGACGGATGCAGCAGCTAGAAACAGACGGAGGAGAGCGGTTGGGGTGAGACAAATGTATACCTTTAACGGTGAGCATGGTGCTGGTGTTGGCGTTCAGAGCCTGGAAGGAAACTTCTCCGGCCTGATCCAGCTGTACGTTCTTCAGCGTCAGGAAGCGCTTTGGACCCTCAGCTTTAATGTCGCAAGTCTGAAAGACACAAAACAGAACGTACAACCAGATGTGTCAACTACCAAAGTATAAATACTTTGTTACTTCAGTAGAAATATTGGCTAGCTATACAACTTTTTACTTTATACTCCTTACATTTTAAAATAGACTTGTTAGTTTTGTTTCATTTAAGCTCATTTTCGTTAAATCAAAATAATTAGTTAGTTAATTTCTTTGTGTTTGGACTCTGTGCTGCACACAGCAATATAAATAGTTTTTCGAGATGATGCAAAGTTAGGGTTAATGTCTTTAATTTCTTTTCCTGCAAACTTTAACTTTTATACTTCAGTAAGTAGTTTTAAAAATGGTACTTCAATGCAGAAGGAAAGGAGAGCTCTTGGCGCCGCTCTGGGCGCCCTGA